ATATTTATTATATTTGGGAATTTGCTAAAACAACAAGACCAATCCAATCATTCACGCTACAGTATCTGTTTCACTGACCAGTAAGTAAAAGACACTAACTTCTCAAATAATCTCTCGTTTCACACTAAGCTGAGGTTTGGCCTGTCTCTGCGAGATATAGAGAGAAGAGAGTCACAGCATCTTGTAGATGTGTTGATCTGAGATCTTCTGGTATTGGAGCATTCAAAGCTGTCTCAAAACACTTTAGTTGAGACTCTCTACTAGGATCCTCCTCACTCAGATCTGACACAAGCAAATCGCAGATTTCTTCTGCCATCTTCGAGTATGCGACTCTGCGGGTAAACAACGAGCTTGCGAGTTTAGTGTTATAGTAGCTGTAACCAATTGCTATGATAATAAGGTTTTTATGATGAACATAGAATGTGTGTAATATGTATGACCCGTATCTGTCCACACAGCAGACTTGGGCTGTGTAGTCATCAGAAGCCAATTGCTTAGTTTAGGAGCAATCACTATGGATGCCACCAAATTTAGACGGACCCATCCACAATTGCTCCATTTTGTATCATTTTCTAGGTTATGCTAAATATGTAAGACTTCGTATCCTAATAATTATTTAAATCCTATACAAACAAGTAGACGACATGAACATGAACGGAGAAGGATCAAACAAGTCCATGCAAGTAATGAGTAGTTCTTGACGAGTCAATGCTATTAGCAAGTATGAGACATATGAAGTACTTACCTAGCTTCAACTGGTAATCTGTCACCCCAAACAGCCAGTGATTCGCTTAAACGTCCGACAAAACTTCTGCACAACTTGTTTCTGCTCTCAAGGGAATCCTGTGGAAGCAAAGATTGTGTTGTTTGTATCATATCATAGGGAGTCTTGTTGAGTATCAGTACAAGAAATTCTTATATTGTGCAGTCAGTTTGGTCAACATCAGCCTAATTGAAGTTTAAGCAATTTGGGAGCTAGAGTAGTTGAATCTCAAACGACGTAGACGTACCAGTTCTACCATCGTATCAGTATCTTCTTGCAGTGAACTCTTTAGTAAGTAGAATGATATGTAAATCCCAGCACCCAAGTCCCAGTTTTCAATCTCAGACTTGCGATCATCCATTGAAGTAGCAATTCTCCATAGTTCTGAGTCGTTATCTGCATTTATAAAGATGAAACGGATCACTCCATATAGATCCTTCCTACACTACACTGGAATCATGTTCCAGATGAGCAGGTGGGTCTGCAAATAAGGTAATGAAGGGACTTACCTGACAAAAACAATGAATGGGCAACTGACGTCATAAAAATGGAATGAGCTTTTTGCCAGTTTGCACATTCAATAAAGTGGTCAAGAGCCTTTACGAAGTCTCCATTGTAATTGTAATAAACTGCCTGCAACACAGGGGAAAAAACCAGCAATCAGCATATTGGTATAACCGCTAGTACCTTTAGCAGAAGTAGTATAGAAGAGTTTTTCTTTAGTGTCCTTACCAGTGCTTCGTGCATCCATTCAGAAGGGATACCCAAATCCTTGATAAATTGCCGCTGTGAATCCATGGAACTCCAAGTTTCACAGAATTGAAACAGGATTTCCCGAATGACAATGACATGTAGATATGGATGATCTTCGCGGTAGGGTATGTGAAGAACAACGTAGATAGCCCAATGACAAAGGCCCTGAGAGAGAAGCTGTGCAACAAATCCCATATCTAGAGCGTGAAGGTCATCTGATGTGAAAGCTCCAATTGCTTCTAGGATTCCTCGGTGGTGCCAGATCATATGATAGTCAAGTGGATCGTCCGTTGAAGAGAAGGCACTGAACATAGTCTTCAGAAAACCAGTTTCTTCCTCTTCTCTGCTGTGCAGAAGCATAAGATAATACAAGAGGTCAGAGTGCTTGTTGTTGCTTACAAAGCCATCTGGAGATCCTTCGTCAATATACATTGGGACAGGCCAAGGAACTTTTTCCTGCTCTAGTAGGAGTTGATAACTTCTGAAGATGACAGGTAATGAACTGTCGGGAGGCAGATGATGCCACATTAGCAACCCTAGGAATCTCTTCCAGTCAATTGTAAAATCTTGTAACGCTTTGTGGATATTACCAGCAAGCAATTCGTAAAGCTTAATTCTCTCCTTCTCGATGTAATTAAAATCCAGCCCATTTCTTCTCCAAAGGAGAAGCTGCTGCTCGATATCATTGCGGTTTACAGTTGATCCACCAGCCTGGCTCAACAAACAAGCAAGTCTAACATCTCCCTTAGATACGGCAAGTTCAACAGCTGAATCAAGCTCTCGTCCAGTTAGAAGAAAGAATAAGTGCTCAAGGTAGTCAGAACCATTTAGATTACTCACATCTTCTTGTACACGGTGACTGACACTTTCTTGAAGCCAACAACTGAACTCTGCTCTCCGGATAAGTGGAAGAGCTTCCGTATTAACTTCTGCAGAATCTTCTTTCACATCCTGCATCATGTCTTCCTCATTATCAGAAGCTGCATAATTTGAACGTTCAGTACTCTGCCTCTCCGAAAAGAGAACCTTGATGAGTTCCCACACCATGACTTGGTGCATCAAAAGCAGCTTGGCAGAGGTGGACAACCCAGCAACCTCCAGCTGTTTCTCAATTATATAGATATAACTTCGGCAAATATCTGAAAGAACTACACGATCAGTGACAACTTTCTGAAGTTTAAGACTGAAAGAGCCAAACCTAACTTCTTCTTCTTCATGATCCAATTCCTTGTGGAGACTTAAGGGAGCCTCAAATGCAGAGTGGATAAGTTCTTTCTGAACTTTTTCCTTTTTATCCCAAACCACTTTGTCAATTGCTATCTTTTCTACATTGATCACAGAAGACAATACCCTCTGGGAACTAGAACTGCAAATCGGCTTACCAGTGTGAAGAAGGATGCCATTTGGTCCCCAACCTGCCCGGAACGACCTTCCCATGAATAATGCTGCATCAACAACATTGCGGGAATGGTTTTCACTGAGTGGCGTGACATGGCTGATGTCCAGCTCAAAACCTCCCATTTTCGACTTTCTCACAGCCAGATTCTTATTTTGTTGGACCATCAGGATACTGCCCGGGGAGCTTTTATCAGTACCAGGGTTGTACTCCAGCAAAGCAAGTGGAGTTTTCCGCGCGACCGGTGGGGTATCTTGGTGACTATTTCTGTGAGATACTTTCTGCGAAGGTCTTACATTTCGTTTAGTCAAGGATGTAATATGGTTGGAAGTTTGCTCTNTAAAATCCTCACTTTCGTCTAGATCTTCATTAGGAAACATCAGCATTCTCATTTCTTTCATCTTTACAGGATCAAGTCCTAGATGGGCTGGAAGAGAGTGAGAAAGGTCTGGCTCAGAAGTTTCCATTTGATGTTCTTTATCAATGTCAGCTACCATATCACCATTCAGTACGACATGATCCTCCAAACCCGGGGTATCATCCATAGCAACATCTTCTGCCTCATCATCACTCAACCCAAATCTGCTGAAATGAGGAACCAAAAACTTCCATAAACCATTATCAAGATCAAATGAGATGAAAGTTGCCCCTTGTCTTTCAGCACTCTGTTTTAATTTAGAAGCAATCTGGTCAGCTCGATCTTTCCCCCAAGTTGGATTTGGTTTGTTTACGATCAGAGTCACCTCTGCAGCCTTGTTAAGCCCCTCACCGACAACTGGCTTGGAGCTTTCATCATCATAAACAATTACTTCATGCCTTTGAAACTTAACTATCAGATCAAGGTCTAACCTTCTAACATCTGTATTTCCAAGAAACTTGATATAACCATAACCAATCCTGCCGATTATGAAATCAGGAACCCGGCTGCAATAACCAGGGTTTTCAATTTCTCGCTCAACCAGCTCGTTCATACATGGATTCAAGAAGTAGTCGGGTGAATTCAATGTAGGCAATGAATCTCTAATATCTTTGTAATGTTCACATAAGACAGAATCTCCATCTAAAGAAATCCTTCTTTTCTTCCACGAGTCCAAATATCCAACCATCCTTGAAATCTCTGTCAACAAAGAAGTTTCGAAAATGAAGATTCAAGAGCTAAGGACAATGAATGAAACAAATTTCAACACCAGATGACAAAAGTTCATGCATACAACAACAAGGCTTTTTACATTAGCTGCCCAAACTCAATAAACTTCATAGTGCTATTAGCATCACTGTTAATTCCCTACCATTACCAACATCAATAAACCCACACAGAGCTCAACTATATGCTTAAAGGCAAAACATCAGTAAACCCACACAAGCTCAGCTAATAAACAGTCGAAGCAGAGAAGATTTCGAAGACTTTACCTGGAACTGCGTGAATCGAAAGAGACGTCATGATTGACTAAACAGAAACAACAACGATGCCAAGCGACAATCTAGGGTTTCCTGACTTATAAATCTCAAACACTACCACGAGATTTCCGGTTTCCGTAACGAATCCATCACCGGAGACGACACTTACGAACGGCGGCGAAAATGATCGGAGAAAAAACACAAAAAACCCTCCAGATTCTCTATAACCTCTTTCTTCTACACACTGAAGTGCTCGGAGTTAAGCGCCGCAGGAGAAAGAGAGGGAAAGCTCTCAAACCCGACCCAATCCAACACGACCCGAAAACCTCCCCAATTATTACGAAACAAGTACGCTTATTGGGCTAAGAGATAGGCCCAAACCATTATTAAAACGCCTTTCGAGTTCAGCGTCCAATAAACGCTTCGCCGGACGTCAATCTGACGCAGAGAGAGACCTCTATAAATCCTTCTTCTCGATTTCTCTCCTCTCCGACTTAGCTTCGTTTTTTCCCTCCTCTTCTGCTCACCGGAAAAAAGACTATCTCCGACGGATCTTCCTCTCTAGGTTCATTATCTCTTTTGTTCTTCTTCAAATTTTCCTCTGATTAAGCTCGTAGAGAAGCTTTACTCATGTGATTTGTCCCCTGAATTGAATCTTTTTTGCAGTTAATCCGACCTCGGCTCGTGATAATGGCTACTTTTGGTGCTGCGGCTAATTCGACTACTAACCCTAATAAATCCTACGAGGTATTTATTTCTTCTATGTTTCTTTGGGCTACTTCTATGGCGGTTGATTCTTCTGTTTTGATTTGCTTTTCCCGAGGTTTTTTGTAGTTACGGTATGAGTTTAATCCACGAGATCACTTGCGTATGCCTTTGTGTGTTCTGTGTTGAGTGTTCGCTTTAGATTTTTGGGAGCCGTCGATTGAATCTTGACTGAATTCTTTGCCGTTAGTGTGCTAGGGTTTTACGGGTTAGAACGAAGGGATGGATTTTCCGATTTTAACTGTTTCTTTCTGGTTTGGTGCACTCTTGTTATGAGATTCGTCTAGATTGTATCTAAAAACTGATCTAGGAAGCTGAATTGAAGGTCTAACCTTGGTTTATTGTTGATGAATTCCCTGTTAATGTCTTGTTTCCTACTGACCGTTTAGTGTCTAGTAGTGTGGTTGCAGTCTATCTTGGGTTATCGTTTAAAGCTCGTATTTCTATATGTATTATAAGTTTCACAGAGGTTTCCATTGTCCTGCAGGTTCTTCCATCACCGGCAGATTCTATTTCAAGCTTAAGTTTCAGTCCAAGAGCTGATATACTTGTGGCCACTTCATGGGACAATCAGGTTTTCTATAAATTCTTTGTCCTGATATAGAGTTTTTGTACACCTCAAACGGTTTTCTATATTGATGTGTTTATATAGTAATATAGGAGTTGTGTTTCTTCTATTACAGGTGAGGTGTTGGGAAATATCCCGTAGTGGCACCTCTATAGCCAGTGCTCCAAAAGCATCAATATCGCATGATCAGCCGGTAATATGTTGTTGCTTTCTATCTTATTTCTCTTGCTTTTCTTTTTTTGGCTTAGTATCTGATGCCTATATCTTTTCCTTTCCTTTGTTAAAGGTCTTATGTTCTGCTTGGAAAGATGATGGAAGCACAGTCTTTACCGGAGGATGCGATAAGCAAGCAAAAATGTGGCCCTTGTTGTCAGGTGGTCAACCTGTAACTATTGCTATGCACGATGCTCCTATTATAGATATGGCCTGGATCCCGGGAATGAATCTCCTCGTAACTGGAAGCTGGGATAAAACGTTGAAGTAAGAATGCTTGTTTCCTTCTATGATGAAATCAAACATGATAGAATGCTGACTTGTAGACTTATATAGTGCTTAAGTTCTACTTAATGATATATACTGGTTTTCCTTGCAGATATTGGGACACAAGACAGCAAAATCCTGTTCATACCCAACAGCTTCCAGATAAATGCTATGCATTGTCTGTGAAACATCCTCTGATGGTTGTCGGAACTGCAGATAGAAATCTGATAATCTTCAACTTGCAAAATCCTCAGGTATGATTTTGTCCTTGTTTTTCCATATTATAACTTGTGCTTTAGATCTCTGAGTGCTAAGAATGCTTAGATCACACATGATTTCGGGAAATCATGATATATAGATAAATGAACTAAGCCCATATGCTAATGCTTTCCTACAAATAATAGATATCCTGGTCTTCCTACAACTAAGCCCATATGCTAAATGTTGACCATCAGATTAACAGTTTCTCTTGTATTCAAAAAGTTGCAAGTTTATTTATCTTGTTGATTTTGGTAAACTGTAGAGTGAGTTCAAGAGAATCCAATCCCCACTGAAGTACCAGACGAGGTGTGTTACTGCCTTCCCTGATCAGCAAGGATTTTTGGTATGTCTTCTCATATCTTTTCTATTGCATTTTTGTTAATTCAGTATTACAGGAATTTAGCTTGCTCGTTGACGCTAACATTTAGGTTAAATATTGCAATGTTTATTCTTGGCAATCTCAAGAAGGTTCTCTATAGGCTATTCTAGTAATGAATAAAGTATTTTCAGTCACATCTTAAGATCCTATCTTGATCACAATAAGTTCAATATGAAAGATAACCAGATCCAATGTTCTTTATAGGTTGGCTCAATTGAAGGGCGGGTTGGTGTCCATCATCTAGATGATTCTCAACAGAGCAAAAACTTCACATTCAAATGCCACAGAGATGGAAATGATATATATTCTGTCAACGCTCTGAATTTCCACCCGGTAAGCTCTATAGTTATACGGTTATGTAGTCTGTACAATGGTTAGTCGGGAGGTTGATTGTTTGAGTCGTGTATTTAAAGGTACATGGCACTTTTGCAACTGCTGGCTCCGATGGTGCTTTCAATTTCTGGGACAAGGACAGTAAACAAAGACTCAAGGTATTCATGTTGCATCTCTGTGCTTTTCATCGATTTATTGCTTGATTATGAAGGATATCTAACAGTGTTGCATACCATTCTCCACCAATGTCAGGCCATGTCAAGGTGCAATCAGCCAATTACTTGCAGTTCGTTCAACCACGATGGCTCGATATATGCATATGCGGTATGATATAAATATTGTTTGGTTTTATTCTATTATTATATCAAAAGAGTGTTTATTATGATAATGCAAAACCTTAAGAGCATATAAAGTTTAAAAGGATGGTTTTAAACATGTATTTTGTAGTCCTGCTATGACTGGAGCAAAGGTGCAGAAAATCACAACCCGGCGACTGCAAAGAGCAGCATTTTCTTGCATCTGACACAGGTGTGTGCGCGTCACTCAAAAATAATAATATATATACGTATAACCAAACATTAGAGTCTGTATTAAACCGATTTCATTGTTTTGAACGTATTGCAGGAAAGCGAGGTTAAAGCCAAGCCAAGAGTTGGAGCAACCGGCAGAAAATGAGATTTGCTTTGTCTGATTTTGTTCCCTCTAGTGATGATTTCTTAGCTTTTCGTTGGACGTTGTTGTGTCAAGACAGTTTGAATATATAGATAATAGATACTACTTGGTCTGTCTCACGACTTGCCCATAAGTAAATCCTTCCTCTGTTTCTCCATTTTGGAATCATTTCCTTGTCTCGTCTTCTCTTTCTAGAGTTTGCACACTAATTTACACTTTTTTTTCTATTGAGTTTATGAAAATTGGAGAAGACAGTGTTATACACACAATTTGCATAGAAAGTAGTAACATTTGCGTTTCTGAAACAGATGGAGTAATAATGTTCTTCATCTCTCTTTGTTCAATCTTGTCCTAAATATGGTTATAGTTTGTTAGCAAGTGAAAGTGAAGAAAAAGAGAGGACACGTGGCAGTTGATTAGTGGAACCAGGAGATGAAATCGGTTATGAGCGAAAGACCTGGACTTTCCGTAAAGCAAAGACTCCCGCTCCTTCACTTACTAACTTGCTAATTATGTTCACTCTCTACACCTATATAACCAATGCAACTTCATCACCAATTTTCCTTCATGTTTTATATAAATAATTTCTATTTATTTTTTTTTTCTGTTTCTTGTTTTTCTCCCTTTTGTTTCTTTCTGTTTCGTCAATAACAACAGAAGAAAAAAGAAAAAGATTGAGAGAAAATTTCAGTTTGAAAACACAAAAACTGCAGAGAGAAACTTCGAACAAAAAAAAAACACAAACTTGTCAAAGAAAGAAGGTTAAAAAGAAAGTTAAATCAACATAAAAAAACCCTGTTTCTGAAAAAGAAAAAAATATGGCAGGGAAAGATTCTAGCTGGGACGATATCAAGAACGAAGGTGTCGATCTCGTAAG